GGGAGGGGGGGGGGGGGGGGGGCAGAGAGGTCGACGATCGACGAAGTCCGTCGGGCACATGTCTTGGGGTCGACTGCTACGTAAAGGCACAGCAGTTCAGTGGTAGACACGGGGGCCCGCCTACGACTCTACACGTAAGCAGTCCGAACGACAGAAGCGGCCAACAAATCGAGCGCAGCCTGGATGGATCGTTGTCGTTTCCTCTCCTACTCGCCTGGATAGATAGGAGCACTTGCAGTAGCGAGGCATCGGGTGACCACATCATTTCTGGAGAACCGCTCCATGTTCCAAGCAGCGACAGGCACACCTTTTCGAAAGGGGGCGGAATATACGGGGAGCGAGAGAAACAAATCCGTAAAAAGAAAAGTGACTGCCGCACACGAGACTACCCCACGGAGGCAGACGTAATACTAGTGGTAACGTGAGGAAAACAAAAACCGAAACCAACCACGCCCTTGGTAATTGAAGAAGCCGCGCCGCACAGAACCCGGTCGAGAACCGACGACACACGCGCGTGCATGGGCTGTGCTCTACAAAAAAGCGCAAACAGAACAAGAGAGGGACAAGCGTATCGCTCACATCGTGGCCATCGCGTACGATGCAGGCGTGCATGGGCTGTGCTCTACACAAAGCGCAAACAGAAGAAGAGAGGGACAAGCGTATCGCTCACGCTGCCACACGCGTACCACACAGGCATGCATGGGCTGTGCTCTACACAAAGCGCAAATAGAAGAAGAGAGGCACAAGCGTATCGCTCACGTTGCCGCACGCGTACAGGTTCGGGCTGAACCTGACCCTGCCGCGACCGGTGGTCATCAGGTTAACTTTCGGAGGGACGGAGGGGTACTGCGGAGGGCAGTAAATGTCGAACTCGAACAGCCCGCTGTCGTACGGAGTTCCGGTTGGTGCCGCGATCATTGCCTTCCAAGACGGGGAGGGGGGGGCGGGGGGGTTACAACACGATGATGGTTTGGCCGGCTGTGTGCGAGAACACTGTCGATTGTCAACCACGAGAAAAATGATAGACCGAGCAGGCAGCGAGACCCTTCGGACAGATAAATAGTATATACTTGAGAAGTAGACGGACAGATAACTGCGGTGTCCTTCCCAATGCTGCTTGCTCCCAGCCTAACCTTTCGTTTCAGCTCCACCAAGTATCGCGGAAAGCGGAAAGGCGTCACGTAGACATGGGGGGCCCTACGGCACAGCGAGGAACACGTCCTTCACAGCAACGCCCATGAAATGTCCCCCCACCCCAACCCCACCAAACGCAAGGATGACATGGCCAGCGAGGCCAACGGCCAATCGACTACGGCATGCACGACTTTGAGTACCCCCCCCCCCCCCCCCCTCA